TTCTTTGTATATAAGACCATATTAAAGATTGCAATGCTGGCGGGTGCGCTGTCCTCACGCGGCTCTGATAACCACATTTTTGTGAAAAAAAACTTTTCATGCAAAGAATCGAACCTGAGCCGCCCGGTTGCAAGCCAAGTATCCTTCCCACTAGACCATTATGGCACACATTCAGTCGTTATTAAACTGAGTTCGCATTCCGAAATAGTTGTGGGGAATGGTCAATTTTCGCATACATGTGGACGCGTCTGCCGTTTACAAATATGCAACCCGCGCAGGAAAGTTTTAAATTTCCCGCCCCCCACCGCGCGCGCTTATCTTCTGACGCAGAGAGAAAAAGAATGTCCGAATCGTTCGTTTGGCCCGCCAATTAAAAACGTTGCGCAACCCTGGTTTAAAGGATCAAGCGATTTTGAAGAGGTTCTCCATACTTCGGAAAATGAAAATATACCTAACAGACTTTGACCAGGAGGCAGTGAAACAGAGTATGTGAAAAAACGTACAAAAAACAGAAATGACACCAATCGAAAACAAAGGTCTCATATTTCATATTTTTCTGAATAATTTTGTCCTACGACCCAATAAAAAGTAACATCCTGAATTGAAAAAATGCAAAAAAAATAAACTATCTCAAAAAATATTCATGTTGCTTGCAAAAGCAATCAAATTGTTGTGCATAAAAATGTTGGATATCAAAAAGCTTTTCATGAAATAAATTAACTTTTAATTATACATTGTTTTAATTATATAAATCGTTGCGTACCCAAACTAGAATTATTATCTCTCAGTTTTTCCTTTAATATCCGAGCACGCCCTGTACATAACCATTTTGCCTGTCCATGTATATATTCCCACTGAGATGCATGAGCGTCGAAGCTAGAATTGCACTGCATTTGTGCGCATTCGTCTATCAGAAAAGTTCGAGCAACAATCAAACGAAAACAAGGATCAAGATGTCGCCGTACTGCCATCAATAACAGTGAGCATGTTTGTTAAACAGCAACACGTCATTTTCGAGCCATTTTGTACATCATGTCATCATCGTTATAATCGCCTTCGTCGTTTAACCAGCTGCAATACGCTGTCGCTTCAACAAAAGCAACAGCGCCATCGCGCCACTACCTTTTGCCTTCGTTTCTATTGACCTACTTAGAAACAGCAAGTAAGTCCTTGCATTCATATTCCTTTCGTAATTATACCAATTTCCAGTGTTGTGCCGTCGTAGCGATCGCCAACCAATGTTTGGAATAAATTACTTTATTTGTATCTTTTTAATAATAAACACGATAAATCATTCGTGTTCATCCCTCTCATACAATAGCTCAATCATATGAGGATTTTCTCAAGAAAAAATTCCCGAAGTTTTTTTCTCAGCGGTTTTATATGTATTTTGAACCGCTGTATCCGAATTTTCACTTTGCTAACACGCCAGAGGTGAGCTAACTGCGGCAGCCACAAATAACCGCAAATTATTTTCGGCATTTTTACATTTTCGCCTATAACTCAAAAACGGAACGTTTTAAAAGAAAAACTATTCTATACAAAATTGTAGTCCACAAAATTTTATACATTTCACATGTAACAACCAAATCTGTAGAACCAAACAGACCGCCCGCCGCCAGCGGCCGCGCCAAAACGGCTACTTTTCGTGCAACTTTTGGAAAATGCAAAAATAGTGCTCCGACATATCTATTTAATATAATTTTCAGTTCTTATCAAGTGGTGGTATTGGTTTTTCATTTACATGGACTTTTGGAGTTTGAAAAGTCACATGTGCTAACCGCAAAAGCCGCAAATGAGGCAAAATCATCAAAGTGAAAAAAACAACAAACAAGTGAGTAGTTGAATTTCACTCAAATTCAACGCACAATCAGAATATCTGAATATCCGAATAAACTCATTGGCACCGTTACTGCAGTTGCACAACCGCAGTTTGACATTGCTGCGATTACCGCAGTTCAGCGTTACCAACCTATATTTAATGGTTGACGAAATGAATTGATAGACACAAATATAAAATGAAACGCTCAAAAGCTTTTTTTATTGTTTAACAAATGATAGTAAAATTGAAAAAAGGCTACATCTAAAATAATTTCCACTCTTTTATTTCCCCCATCTTTCCTTCGATTCTTTTTTTTACCAAATAACACTGTACTCCTTCCTTTTTTATCACTTTACTACACCTTCTTTCTTCTTTTGACTCGGGACGGGCCAGTCTGAGGGTCTTCGTAAGGACCCAGCTGTGAGTCTGTGGATGGACCTGGTTGTGGGTCTGTGGATGGAGCTGGTTCGCGGTCTGTGGATGGTAGGAGGACGGTAGTGAGTGGAAAACGGTTCCTTTCGTTGAGACCTCCAAGAAAAGATAACGCTCCGTCACCATTGATCTCGAAAACACGCACGTTTTACTTTCAAAAACACCATCTCAGGAGAAGGTGAAGTCCGAGGAGAAGTCATTTAATGATCAAATTAATGAAGTATTAATCTTTAATTTGTTGTGCATTTTATAACTTGACAATGAAGTGTCGAAAGAGGGTACTCATACAAGGCAAGTGTAACGTCAGGAGGGCACATATCTATTGGTGATGTCAAAGCTTTCAGTGCAAATATTTGCAGAATGGAGTGTCGGAGGATTTCGATTGTATATCAGGCGGTCTTTAAATGTTTATGTGTAAAGAGCATCCTCCACATTAATCATCTACCAAGAAAGTAACCCAACCTAACTAAGCTATTTCACTTTAAAACAAGTTGTAAATCAGCATATGCATGATTAAAGCGCATTTTTGGTAATGCAGATCAGTATTTTATTAGCGAAGTTTAAAATTATCGATGTCACGAGTAATTTTGGCTGCGTTAAATAATTAACTTTATTTAATTTCAATTGACGGTACGTCTTCATTTTGTAAAACAAATCAC